TTTGTCAAAAAAATTCACGCGTTTTAGGAAGATAAGGTATCGGGAAACAACACATGAAACTTATATTACGCTTTATCGGCTCGTTCCTTTGATCTTTATAATAAAAATAATAAAAATGAGAATAATGTGTAAATGAATGAGTAACGAAGGATGAATTTTTATGCATTTTTATACAAAAAAAAAATGCTAATTAAAAGTAGGAAAATATAATATTGCGATGTAATATTGGTTAGAAATAAAAATAATACACTTCGGCGTTACGAAAATGAGAAAAATGTGTAATGAATGTGTGACGAAAGATGAATTTTTATGCATCTCTATATAGCAAAAATACTAATTAAAAGTAGGAAAATATAATATTGCAATATGATGTTGGTTATAAATAAAAATAATGCATGACGCCGTTGTATTATGATGTATACTAGCGAGAAAGTTAGCGCAATTCTTCTTTTTTTCTTTATATCACGGTGTGATCGTCGATCGATGCTTTCTTCTCTTGTTTACACTACACGGGTCGATCCCGCGAGGCGTAACCGCGCTTTCGAGGAAAATTATCGAACGCGAATAATCTAATCTCTCTCGCTTTACTTTCAGAGCGGAAAATGCCGCGAGACCGACGCCTCGGAAGATCACGTTAAACTCGCGATGCAAACCTAGTTACGCTCTTCTTCTCTTTCCGTGTGTGCGTGCCGTACGTACGTATCGTGCGTGCACTCGTATCTTTCTTTTTATAGATGAGGGGAGGAGGAGGAGAGGAAGGAAGCGTTCGCTTTGTCAACTCGCGAGGGAGAGATACCTGTCTTTGATATCGATTACTTTAATAAGCCGCGCGCTTCCGTTTACGGAAAGGGGGTTCGACGCAACCTAGTTTCCAGATTACCGCAGCCAGATTACGCGCAGCCTCGTTCGCGAGACGACGGAGAGTACATCCATGCGGAGTGCGAAACGTAAACGTGAAATGTTAGATAATCGATGACGCTCGGCCTGCATCCTTCCTACGAGAGAGATAAAGAGAGATGAGCTTCGGATTGTCAACTCGCTTATGTGTTATTGAGTATTTCGTATAAAGGGAACAATGCAAATATTTAAGCAGAAAGTTACATTTTCATTATTTTATTGTATGCTTGAAGCCTAAATTCTATTATTTTATAAGCTTTTGAGCGTTAGTTCTTCTATCTATTTTTAAGAAGACATTATTGATATTATAGCGACATTTTTTGTTTTAAATTTATACAAGAGAGATCTATTCTTAAAGCTTTATAGTTTACTATAAATCGCCCCGCGTACTGCTATTCGTAGATTTAAGAATCATATTATGAATTGTAAATTGTACTATGAATAATGGTAATTACATCTGTAACTATTTAGAATGGATGGGTGAGTTATTTATTTAAATTTAAGGAAGAAATCTTATATAAGAGAATGACGAAATCATTTTTTTAAGCATGCGACAGATAGTAAACAATCATTTTCTCCTTTTTGCTGTTGTAATTACACCTATGTAGAACTTGTTAAGTGCTGCATTAAACAGGATTAATTATTGTTTTGGCATACCTAAATCATCACTACAGGGGCTCATTTTTTCCGCGGGTGCGTCGACGACGCACGATAGTAAATCATCATCGGGCGCCAGCCTAACTGTACTTTCTTACTTTTCCACGAACGTCATTCCACTTCCCCAGGATTGCGCAATCGCGCCAGGCGTTTTACAGTTTCGATTGTCCGGTAATAACCAGAAACGTCGATCGAGATACCGTTACGAATCTTTTGTTGTTGACTGGACACGTCCGTGCACATCAGAATCATCAGACGGATTACGGAGTTTGTGCCGGAGTTGTGAAGATCCCCCTCTTGTTAAGGATGTTAAGGCTGTTGAACATGTTAATAACGACTGGTACAACAGAGTGAATAGCGTAGAGTTTGCATCTCGGGATTCTAAACTCTAAAGCGACATTCCGTCCATGTATTTAAAACGTTTCGAACAAGTTGTCCGACGGGCAGATTAGCGCAAATGCGGATGTGACGTAGTCCCGTGTACAGTAACAACTGTCGGCTCTCCGTCTAGAAATAGGGACTTCCAGCCAACGTCTCTTCGTATAATTCCAGTTGAAATATCGTTTTTTGCGTAGTTTGCACAGTAATATTTGTTATCGCATGCATATATTAGAAATTATTAATTTTTTGAAGTTTTATCAACGTGATTTGCAAAGCGAATCTGTCTCACAAAATATTAAACCGTCAAATATTGAGTTTGGTGTCTTGAAATTGCTTTACATTTTATTAGAATTATTGCGTTACAAGAGATATAAAATTATGAAAAAGTGAGACAGCAGTTGAGGGGTTTCTTCCACGTAATTTATTTCTAATCAATTGGCACGTAAAGAACTCAACTGTTAATTGCATGTAATCTGTTCTAGACTTGTATGTTTTCTAATGTATTGTTCTATTGTTATTGTCTTTTTATAAAGACTTCAAAATTTATCAGTAAAAAGTGACAATTTTAAAATTGATCACTTACGCGCAAAGAAATCAGTAAAAGTAAACTTTGAATCAAACTTTTGAATTCAAAGCTAGTAATGAAATCGAGAACGTTACTAATTAGCCGACTTTAACCAGCTTGTTTTTCTGCATCGTGCAATTTGCGCTAATTAATACGCGGCTGAGTACCAAGTTCCTCAATTGTCGCTTATACGAGCTATTGTGTTTAAATAGGCGTAAGATCGATTTCTTTAGATCAATTGGATCTTGTTGACGTAACATGATTTGTTGATCGCTTGTCGGCACGAGCGAGCGAGCGAGCGAGCGGACGACGAAACGGAACGTACGAATTACTGAAAATTGCTGACGTCGCTCGGCCGCAAGTTCCGTGCGCCACGGACAGGAATTGTGCTCGAGGACGATATATCCGTGATTCGACCCGATTCGCCGCTCCATTTCACGGCAGATTTCATTGGTACCGTGAATAATCGTGTACTTCCGGCCGGGTCCCAGGAAAAGCGTCCGCGACTTAATCGTTACGTAATGCAGCAGCTGATGCGAAGATTTTCTCAGATTTCTGCGAATAACTACCGACGTGTGAAGCCCTTATGTACGAAACCGTGACGAATTGCAATTTAATCTGATGCGAAAATCTTCAGAAAGCTGGAAAAATGTCGAGATGTGAATGGGACTTGAGTACAGAGCGAGACGTGCATGTCGTTGAGATGTTACATTATTTATCAGCCGCTTGGCGAGCGCCATGCTGAATGCCTTTGACAGTACGCAATCTCCCTCGTTGATATTATTCGTCTAATGCAGCAACGTGTGCTATTTATAATAATTTATTGTACGTATCGTCAAAGATACAGCGTTTGATTAAGCCTTCGAGGCTGCTTTTAAACCGTTTCACTTTTTACGTCGATTGTTAATCGCTTTTTTGGAATATTTATTTATTTTCACTGATAACAATAGAATTTTCATCAATTTCACTTTTTACATCTATTGTTAATTGCTTTTTTTGAATATTTATTTATTTTTGCTGACAGCAAATAGAATTTTTATCTATTTCACTTTTTACATCGATTGTTAATCGCTTTCCTGAATATTTATTTATTTATTTTTGCTGAGAACAATAGTTTTTTAATATGAACCGTCTTTACGCTTAAACTTTAAACTAATCAGGGAGATGAGTAATTAGGTGGTGAAGTTAGCGCTGGTACAGAAGGCGATTTCATTCGCAATTGACAAATTAATTCGCAGTGGCACATCGATGCTAGCCAAGTACTCGGAATGCGGAATTTCTATTCTGCTCTTGTATATCTGTCCGTCTCACGCGTTCGCGGATATTTATAACGTCCAAAGCGGCGATTCTTTTGTTCAATAACGGGTCTGTAATAAGAACAACGAGGGGTTCGGTGAGTCAGCGCGCTTCTCGGGGGGGCCCTTGGTGATGACACGCGACGGAATGCCGCGATCGTTCGCGAGATTATTCTGGGAAACCCGCGACATATGTCAACAGTTTTGACTTAATTTAACATAAAGTCAAGTCGCGTTCTTTACCACTGACGACGAACGACGACGATTCTCCCGGCCGAAGGAGGAGCAAATCGGGTCATCGTAAGGACATTCACCCCGGGCGGTTCCTCTGAATGCCCGGTCCGTTAATTTTATTCTCCGAGCAGTTACTCTCTAGAGCAATCACACTTTTTTTATATTTCTTTACTTTTTTTTTTGCTCGAATTAGGGCCGTAAATACGTATCTGGTTAAGCAGATGATCAGATGTTCGATCCATTGAAAGCGAATGTGGATTGATTTTACCAAAGCACGGCGTGCAAAGTTTATCGAAATTATATATAGACGCAGTTAAAATAAGAAGAATGCTTTGTGTGTGTTATTTTCGGATACTTCGTAGCCGCGGTAGGAGTGAATTCAAAATTGCACTGTGCAAGTTACTTTTAGCTCTGAACGATTAATATAACGTGAGAAATATAAGTAACGAATGCATCGTGGGATTATTTACCGCTATCATTGTAACTCCTAACAATTATAAGTATTAGAACACTGAGAAAAATTATTGCTGCATTACATTAATCTTACATTAATCTTACAAAGCTAAATTAATTTGATTTACACACAATTTACACCGCTTTCTTGAGAATTTAACAGCACGAAACAGTAATATTAATAATTAGACTTTCTTTCAAAACGCATGTGTGTGTAACAATTAAATGTAAAAAAAAAACGTACACGGAGAGAATTTTCTCTTATACTCTGAAATCATGGTAGTTGTGGGACAACATGTATCACCAAGAATTTTATGCGAGCTATTCTGATTATTATCTACCATAATAAAAAATATTAATATCTATTACATTAAAATATAAAATGTTTCATTAATTTTACTAAAATATATCTAGGAAATTTCAATAATTTTTCAAAATTTACCAATCTGCTTGGTAATTTTTATCGTGTTGTTTGTAAAATGTCTTTTGTATATTTTAAAAATCCCTTGGTTGCAAAGTTGTCCCAAGTTTATAGTGAATTTAAGGGTAAAATATAACAAAAAATTCTCTCCGTGTACGTTAATCTGTCAAAGGGCAGTAAGGGCCAATCGTGAGGCTGGAACGAATCGGACATCACGTCGGATGTGACAGTCCGTAAAGTTCAAATCAAGAGCATCGACTCTCGAAATCTCGTTAACGGGATGGAAGCTCGCAGCTTCGGGGAAGAGGGGGGAGCACGTTGCCGGGAAAACTGGGTCATCGTAAGGGCGTTTACCCGCTTCACACCTCCGCGATTCTTCTCCCCCCGCTGATAAAAGCCTGCTGCCTACTGCGGTAGGGAATCGTTTTGAAGAGTACAATCGCTCAAATCGCTGTGTAACGGGCGATTCCTCCGATTGTAACTCCTACGTCGTCTATACAACCGTGATTTTAGTTCCCCAAGACTCGACCCACGATGGCGCGAGCTCGTCGGGCGATAAACGTCCGAACGATTTCGAGCGCATTGAAGCGACTGGGAGTAATTGCCCAGTGGCTGTTAAACTTGCTATCGCACATTTCGTCGATTTTTTTAAAATGGTCTTCAAGCTGATAGACGGAGAAACTTTCTTGCGAGAGATCCGGCTGGAAGAAATCAAATTAAACATGTAAATCATATGTGAATCAAATTAATCTCGCTGGTTAATGTGAGGCATGACGTCGATTTGTTTCTGCAGTAATGATTTTTCTCGGTGTTCTAATTATAATTGTTAAGAATTATGTATTTGGATGATAGCGGTAAATAATGACGCGTTCCCACAATGCATTTGTTATTTATATTTCTCATGCATGCTTATGTGCGTTACTATCGTTATTACGAGTATCTGTTATAATTAAAACTTGGACAAATTCTCCTAATATAAAATACCGTTACTGATATTGCATGATCGCAGTGGCTTCTCTTCACGACATACGGACGTAGGTCGGATAACTCAAAGGATATTGAGAGTGGCACTTACTCTCTCATTTCACCCTGAATGCAGTATCATTGACGATTAAAGCTTGGCTCCCTCTCGAGAGACGTGGAGGAAATCTCGCGTTCGGAGTGATAAATTGTCGCGGTCGGAGCGAGCTAGAGGAAATACGATTTCGAGCAGCTTAGGATAGAAGCTCCAGGGTTAACCCTTATAAACAAACAAACAAACAAAACAAACAAATATATAATATATATATATATATATATATATATATACAAATACAAATATACATATTAATATATTTCTTAAATAAATAAGTATTTCTAAAATAAATAATGAAGTTCTGAGCCTTCTCATTCAGCTGGAAAAGAAGGGCCAGAGGAGACTCTTTACAGATGTGCAAAGCCGCGCGCGTTTTCAGTTCGAACTAATAAAGAAGAGTAGGTACACGGAGCATCGAAAAGTATTTGCATATATGCAAAGTTGCACACTTAAGGGTTAATGGTTCGCAAAACGCAGGGGTATCACCTGCCCTCTCCACCTTATGCAGGTGCTCTCGACGTGTGTACGCCGCGGACACCGGCGCCACGGTGACTCCGGTGGAAAATCAATAATCCTGGCTCTGTATGTCCCCGCGTGTGCCTGTGTGTGTGCGTGCGCTCCGTGTTCATCTTACCTTCGGCGTTGCGACGAGACGGTGCGGTGCGGTGGTTCGCTATATCGGATCCTTTTGCGGTGGAGAGAAGGCGCGTCGAACCTCGGCCACAAAAGCGCGATTTAATCCGCATTAAATGACGAATCGACGAAACGCCGCGCCGCCCCGCCGTGTATCTCTCGTCTTGGCGCGGCCTAAAGATAGACCAACTGACGGCGAAGAGGTCGACGTTACGCTTATCTGTACGCGATTTCGCCATGCCACGACAAAATATTATCGTTGAGGTCGCGACACTGCGTAAATAAATTCTTTGTAAACTCCAGTTAGTAATTTTACACATAAGCTAATTTTACGATAGAGATGATGAATAGAGATGTGAATTTTAGGATGCCTAGATTTGGAACGAGAATATTATAGCTAATTATAAACAGTCAAACGCTGCTGCGTGGACGCTATCGATTTTGTGTTTTCGTGTGGTATATAAGCATTACATGTCTACGCTGTTGTACAAATGAATATTTAGGCGAGGCGTTTGACCTCTTCGCAAGAATGAATTTAAACTATGGGTGATTATATATGTGGTCTAATTCGTTTTTCAAGAGTTCCTCGGAAAAAACGACAAGCCGAGAGATTTCGAGAGATAATGTATACGTGACAAATTTAGGCCACGTATCCGTTATCGAGAGAATTGAAGACAACTTTCTGCTTGCATGAGAGAAAGCTTTAAAGCGTGCTGAATGTATTTAAACAACAGGATCCTGCTTTTACGAGGCACCCAAAGCAATGCGGGGGAACTCGCATATAGAGTGCATATAAAGACCGGCTGTTCTCGTCCCGGCGCACAATGAGCTTCTTGTTTTCCATTTTCGCTTCTTACTTTACCGTACTTTATCGACTTCAACAGAGAGCTCTTCGTGATGACGCATACACACTAGACGAAATTGTTAGAAAAAACGCTATTAATCTTTGCACCTTTTATCTCAATTTATCATATACAACTTCAAAAGAGAGATTCTTTTAGAAAAAAAAAGAAAGCATTTTTAGACATAATGTCCGCGTTATTAAAAATACTAATGTTACCGTAATTGCTAACGGGTAAATTTACGGTACAATAAATAGTCGCTGCAGCATGTAAAGTCTATATTTGTTAAACTTGG